CTCAGGACACTGTTGCTGGGAGTTGTTGACGTAAACGACCATCTTGACTCAGGTAGCACCACCACCACCACAACACCTGTCTCTCACACTACCTCTCCATCCACGTGTTATATAAAACCACTAAATAAAATAGATTAATCTTTCCACTATAAACATTCAATATAAATCCATTTCACTTCATCTTTTTTCCTTAGTTAATTTTTTTTTTCACATTTTCATTTTTCTTTTTTCACTTCTTTCACCAATTTCAGTGTCTATGTTTCTTTCATTTTGTTTTATATCTAGTTTCTTTGTTTTTGTTTGTTTGTAAATCGCTGTTCTGTCGGGTCGTTTAGTTTACGGTATTGTGAAGCAACAACACTGATTTTCTCCCTTGGTGGTGTGAATCTGGGAGGGTCGTCAACAACAACAACAACAACAATAACAACAACAACAATAACAACAACAATAACACAAATAATAATAACAACAACAATAACACAAATAATAATAACAACAACAATAACAATAACAACAACAATAACAATAACAACAACAAAAACACAAATAATAATAACAACATCAAGAATACCACCACCACCACGACCCGACCACGACCACCACCACCACCACGACCACCACGGGTACATAATAATAAAACCCTCAGCAGCTGATACACACGACAGACACCTGTTGTTATACTACTAGAGTCAACACAATACCTCATGTGTGTACTATACCTTAACCTATCTCAACACACGCCTCCTTTTTTTTTTTGGGTTAAGGTGGGGAAGGATGGAAGGCATGCTGGGGCTCAAGGCACAGCCAGACATGAGGATGGAGAAGTCACAACATATAGTCGTGGGGGAAAGGTTGGAAAAAGTTTAATGAGTTAAACAGGGGACGACACCCTTGTTTTACATATTACAGAGTTTGTTGGCTAACTAAGCTAACCTAGGATTTAGAATGAGGTTTGCACAATGGTTATTTTAGTAGACAATGATGACTAGATTGATTTTACAATTACAAGTTTATTAACATCTTATACTGTATTACGTTATGGACTCACTCGATTTTGACTTGTTAAATGTGAATTTATATCATCTAAGTTTTAATCTAGGTGGATCACTGTGGCGGACATAGATGGATCGCGGGTTGGGTTGTTGTAGTGTGGGCAGACTCAGGGCCACCAGGCGTGGGGTCTCCCTCCGTTGATGTTACCTCCATGATAATAAAAGGACCACCTGAAGATTAGTCACCCCTTAGCTAATTTTCACCTGATGATTAAAACACCTTAACGCTAACCTGGGGAGGGGGTTGGGATAGGATAGGATAGGATAGGATAGGATAGGCTAGGATAGGATGGAGGCTAGGATAGGATAGGCTAGGATAGGATAGTGTCAAGGTGTTCAATTATCAGGTGAAATAAATTGGGTGTGTAATCTTCAGGTGATGCTTAGACAAAACACTCAAAACAGATGCACTTAGATGATAAACAACTCTCTCTCTCTCTCTCTCTCTCTCTCTCTCTCTCTCTCTCTCTCTCTCTCTCTCTCTCTCAACACCTCGATCCGTGACAATGATCCTCTCGGGTGCTGCTTCTATCAATGACTTGTATAATATATGAAATGGTAGGCGGGGGTAGAAAGGAGGAAGGAAATTGATAGTTTGTTGTTAGTAGCTTTAACATGGTGTTTTTAATCAATTGTCAACTTGACAATACCTGTAACGTGATACTCCTGCCGACCCACCCTTGTCTGACCTACTGCTGTCCTCCCTTACTCCCTCCCTCTAATTCTCCTCCCACTTTCTCTCTCCTCACTCCTCCCTCTATTCTTCTTCTATCCCTCGCCCCCCAATTATCTCTCTCCTTTCCTCCCCCAAATGTCTCTCTCCTTACTCCCTCCCCACTCTCTCCTCCCTCTAATTCTCTCTCCTCATTCCCTCCTCAAATTCTCTATCCTCGCCCCCCATTATTCTCTTCCTCCCCCAAATGTCTCTCTCTCCCTTACTCCTCCCCTAATTCTCTCTCCCTCCCTCTAGTTCTCTCCTTACTACCTCCTCTAATTCTCTCCCTTACTCCTCCCTCTAATTCTCTCTCTCCTTATCTCTATATCTATCTCTTTCCCTCCCTTTGTCTCTCCTCCCTCCCTCCCTTTCCTCCTCCCCCCTCTTACTCCTCCTCTGTCTGTTTACCTTCCTCCCTCTCACCCTCCCTCTCTTTCATTATTCATCTCCCACTTCCCTCTCTTTCTGCCTCTTTATTTAACACTCTTCTTCCCAACCTCCTCCCTCACTTCTCCCTACTTTCTCTCCTCCCTTTTCCTTTCTCTCTTCCTCCTTTAGCCTCATCTTTCTCTCCCCCATCTTCCCCTTTATCCTCCCCTCTCCGTTTATTATCTCCCTACTTTATCTTCCTCCCTTTTTATCTCCCTACTTTCCCTCCCCACATCTCTTGCTCCCTTAACCCTTCCCTTCATTTTTCCTTACTTTCATTTCCCATGTCTTCCTCCCTTTCTCCTCTCCCTACTTTCTCTCTCTCCCTATCTCTTCCTCCATTTACCTCTCCCTACTTTCTCTCTCTCCCTATCTCTTCCTCCATTTACCTCTCCCTACTTTCTCTCTCTCCCTATCTCTTCCTCCCTTTACCTCTCCCTACTTTCCCTTCCTCCCTTAACACCCTCTCATCATTGAGCGGGAAGCGTCATTCGATACTATTGATCCGCTGTCAATATTCTCACCAAAAGCACAACTCTTCTAGGAACAGGTATGCAGGTCCACCTCAACAAGCATCACCACCACCTTCTACCCGTGTGTTGCTCTGCTGTGTCTGGCCTTGGGGGCTATTGCGATGAGCTTTCAAGTCATACACACGATATAACATACGATATATCATACACACATAATATACATAACATACACGATTTGTTTGTTACGGTGTATATCTGTTATTGCTTTTGTTGTTGTTGTAATTATTATTGTTATTATTATTGTTATTGTTATCGTTATTATATTATCGTTATTATTATTATCGTTATTATTATTAAAATTTTTATTACTTTATTATTATTATTATTATTATTATTATCGTTATTATTGTCGTTATTATTATTATTATTATTATTATTACAATTTTCATTACTTTATTATTATTATTAAAGTTTATATCATTATTGTTATCAAACACGGTGATTTAACCCTTTGATAGTTCAAGATTACAACCCAACATCCATTACTACCTGTACACCTTACAGTAAACAGTGACGCTACCTGTATGCTAATGAGGGGGGTGGGTGGGTAAACACCTTACGAATGACGTCACTCTGGGCCGTAAAACTGATGACGTCACGGGTTTCTTTTTGCATTACGTCACACGGGTATCTTTTCACAATTGACGTAATACGGTTATTATTTCGTATTTCCCATTTTTCCTCATTACATTTCACGAAAATTTACTATTTACCGATACTGATACGACGATAATTTGGTTTTTATATTTTATTTTATATTATTTTTATATCTTATTTTTCATATTTTTTTTTCTCTTCTCTTCCTTCAATTTCTCTTATTTTCTCCTTCATCCACACACACACACACACACACACACACACACACACACACACACACACACACACACACACTAATACAATATACCTGTCCATTCAATATTTTCAATCATTGGGTAAAAAGATTAAGATCGTGTACACAACATCACGTCACTGTCTGTGTCTGTCTGTCTGTCTTTCTGTCTGTCTGTCTGTCTGTCTGTCTATCTGTCTATGTGTCTATATAGGGTATTACAAATCAATATATGGTCACCACACTCACTATAAGCATAACAATCACCTAAATCACTAAAAATTCACCACTATCACATCGTCACTATTACTTCACCATCACATCGTCACTATAACTTCACCATCACATCGTCACTATCAAATCACTATCACATCGTCACTATAACTTCACCACACTCACTATAACTTCACCATCACATCGTCACTATCAATTCAAAACTGGTTTATCCTTCCCCTGTGTCATTATCAGATTATTATCACCATTATAAACAAGCTGACACATCGTTCAGTAATCAAGAACATTGTTTGGTCAACACTCAGAGTAAACAACTTGTGATTTAATCTTGTTTTTATAAGTAAACAAAACAGTAAGGTCAGTTTTTCTTGCAAATAGTCTTTGTAAATCACCATCACTGTCACTCATTTACACTCCAGAAAAGGTCAATGATTATTATAGTTTCTTGTAAATAATCATCACCAATTTACAACTTTTTCAACTTTTATTAACTCACCACCATCATCATAATCACGTTTTTTTTGTAAGTAATCAACACCAATTTACAACGCAACACATCACCATAATCAAGTTTCTGTAAATCGCCACCAATTTACAAATAAACACATAATCATAACAATCACAGATCTTGTAAACAAACCAAATTCTCACCATCGATCTACAGTCGGATTTACAACAATGAAAGATAATGAATAATGGTGAACTTCAGTGAAACTATTAAACTCATACGACACCATCACCCCGCCCTGAGGCACACCACCACCACCACCACCACCACCACCACCACCACCACCACTACCACCACCACCACCACCACCAGCAGGGAGGAGGAACAACCGGTTCACAAGGTCTCCAGCTACACTAACACCCAACACCTCAACCTTAGGAACGTCACCTGACCAGGTAGCAACTCAAGGAACAGCACTCAGTAAGTAGCATCACCATTAATAACTAGCATCATCATTAATAAGTCACATCATCATTGATAAGTAGCATCATCATTAATAAGTAGCATCACCAATTAATAAGTAGCATCACAATTAATAAGTAGCGTCACCATTGATAAGTAGCACTCATCACCACAACACCACCACACAAAATACAGAAACACAGACAAATGGTTCAACAAAACACACAACACTAACACTCGCCCTTAGGAACACCACGAGGCATCACCAGCAGGAGGGACGAGGTTCACAGATCATCACCAACACCTCGCCCTTAGGAACACCAACGAGGCATCACCAGCAGGAGGGACGAGGCGTTCTCACAAGATCATCACCAACACCTCGCCCTTAGGAACACCAACGAGGCATCACCAACAGGAGGGACGAGGCGTTCTCACAAGATCATCACTAACACACAACACCAACACCTCGCCCTTAGGGAACACCAAAGAGGCATCACCAACAG